AATTAATATACCCTTGTGCACAAGTGCGCTCGGGTATAAAAAGTGGTTTGGCTTAAATTATATTTATTTGATTTATGTCAGAACGAATTTCCGTCATCTCTTTTAAATTTTGTTTTTTTGTCATCTCCAGTGTAATTTCTCTAATTAAGGCATTTTTTTTTAATTACACTGAAGATGATACCACGCCGAAACTGGATTTTTTCCATAACAAGCTTGGCAAGGCATGACGGAAATTCATTTGAAAATAAATCATCATCCCATCCTATCGAAAATTTTAACAAACCTCAACAGATATACACTTCATACTTTTAATGATATTTACCATATTCAGTTCTAAAAGTAAAACGAAAATATATAAAAGAAAATTTTGAAGAAATCTTAAACCTACTGCCTTTCGCTTTAAGTTTTTGTACCAACTTTTTACTTTATAAAGAGTGATTTTCTTCGAAAGACAATTCTAATTTCAGAAACCTAGTTAACATTCTTGAAAAAAAAACATCTTTTATTACGAAAAGGTAAAATTATAGTTTCTGTTTGACTCAAGAATTTTAACATTAAACGAGTATTAAGTATTTAAGTACTCGCAAGTACATACGAACATACATATGTACGTACTTAGTAGTTACATTATGAGGAAAAACACCTGACCTAGTGAACGGACATTTAAAACATTCCATTATTACCAAACTACCTTCAATAGGGCAATTTTACATGAAAAAAACACACACACATAGCAAGTATACCGAAAAATTTCGCTCAGTCCATTGATCACGTACTGTACATTAAACACAATCATTTTACGTGTCTATTGCTGCCATTTGAAGTAATTTTATCAGCACCTGAATGAATGGCGGAAAGAAGGACTACACCAAAAGTTCACAGAATACTCGCATAGACATAACAATGCTGAAGCACAGGTATAAGGAGCCGAAGGAGAGAAGTAGTATCTACTTTTAACTCAAACACACACACATTACATTAACACACGCTTATCGCTTTAAGTTGGCGTCTAAAAAAGTTAGACTTTTCCATTTATTGTAGCTCGTTTGGTAAACGCCCAACATTTATGTGCCGTAACAATAACGCAAAGCAAAGCAAAAAAAAAAAAAACACAATTTATTGCACTTCAACGCTAACAGCAAAAAGTTTAAATGAGCTTTGAGTTTTGTTTTGCGTAAATTTTTATATATTTTTTTGCACTTTTTTTTTGCGATTTGTTTTGCTACTTTTTTTTGTGATATTTTGTTTGTCTATTTGTGTGGGGTTTTTCGCGCTTTTTGCCTAAATTTCACTTGTTTGTTTTTATTATAATATTTATTTTTTGTACTTTTATTCGCTTACCTTGTGCATACGACCATTTGAGCAGGAAAATTATGAAGATAACACGTAAATCCATGTGTTGACTGGCATTTGAGCGCCGTGTCGTAATGTATCTGCCACTGTTTAGGATGTGACTGAAGAGGCCTAGCAGCAACATTTTTTTGGTGTGGGGCTTTTGAAGGTTTATTTGAATATTTTCCTAATGAGGAATATTTTAAATTTCTTTTTTTATTTTGAATAAATCGTTGTTTTGCGTTAGTATTAAATGTTTGCGTAATTTAATATGCTCTCATGTAGGAATTTTTATTTTTGTATTTATTTTGAGGTTTTTCCTAGCACAACAATAGGTATGTACTACTACATTTTCTTATTTTTAATTTTTGTTATGAAGTTTTGGTGATTTTTTTTTTCAAGTAATTATCGGTTTTAGAATATTTTTTTTTAAACAAAAAATATTTTAATTTTTTTTGTGTCTTGAAGGAATTCACGACTTTCGAAAAGCATGTTATTGCACTGTTTTAGTATTGTATTAATTTTTAAACTTGTAATTTTTCACTTGAAATTTTTTTACAATTCTTAGAAAACAGGTTCGCATTAACTTTAAGTTTAATTACAGCTTCTTTGTTACAATTCCACACTTTTTAATAAGTTTTGAATTTTTCACGTAAAATTTTTCTACGATTTTTTAAAAACAGGTTCGTATTTAATTTTGCAATTCTTCATAGCTTTTCTGTTACAATTCCAAATTTAGTTATAAGTTTTTCAACTTTAAATTTTTTATGATTTTTTAAGAAATGTTTTGCATATTATTTTGCTAGTCATAGTGACTTTGCTACCATAGTTGCACAATTTTTTTATAACTACAATTTTTTCAAGAAATTTTTCTAAAAAAAAAATTGAAAATTAAAAACAAAATTAAATTGTTTTGTTTGGCTAGCTAGCCTTTGGGTATAGAAAATATGCGACTGATGCTCATGTCCGGAAATTCCATATTTACACTTCTCACACTCGCTTTTGATAAAATAAAAAAAAAGTTATTTCTTGATTTTTCAAAATTTCAGTTCTTTAACTTCTTCAAAACATTTCCTTTTACAAAATCCAGCAATACACCCAGCGCTCAGCCCCCTATTCCCTCCGAAAGGCGCTTTTTTCCAAAAATGTAGCCTACTTTAAGGCGCTTAAGTGCGCTTTAAACTCCAAATTGAAGTCTCATAGTCATACTTTTTCAATCGCTTGTCGCTAAAACACACACTCACACTCCTACACCAGTTCACTTGCCTTCAATTGCGCAATGTACACACTTCAATTCAATTAGACAGCTTAAATGCTTGCCTACTGCGCTGCAACACTTGCTGGAAACAGCGAAAATTAATTGTCACACACTTAAAACCCAAAATGGATTTGATTAACAAGACAAGAAGACGGCAGGCATGAACGCCTGACAACGACGCACTGTCGCTGCCGCCGACGATGAAACATAGCAATTAACGAGCAACGGATGANACACTTCAATTCAATTAGACAGCTTAAATGCTTGCCTACTGCGCTGCAACGCTTGCTGGTAACAGCAAAAATTAATTGTCACACACTTAAAACCCAAAATGGATTTGATTAACAAGACAAGAAGACGACAGGCATGAACGACCGACAACGACGCACTGTCGCTGCCGCCGACGATGAAACATAGCAATTAACGAGCAACGGATGTCAAAGATAAACAAAACGCTGACAACGAAACGCCGCTAAAACGATTTGCAATGTTGGCTTAATTACGATGACGAGACGCGACGAAGTAACGCGCGCGAGAACGAACGCAGCCGGAACTGTGCGATTAACCGCGACAGAATGTGCTGTTGCTGGTGGCGCTAATTGCGGTTGGGCTATGCTAAGCGCCTAATGGTAGGCAACAGTAGTCAAATGCGCTGAATATTAAAGTCTCTAAAGTGCATTGATTTGCTGTAGGGATTTAGATACTTGCTTCGTTGAGTTCACAGTTCACCATCGCCTTAAAGCTTACCTCAGCTAAATAGCCAATTAAAGCGGCCAGCACTGCCGGCAAAATAAAACTTTATTTTCGTCTATTTCTGTTCAACTTTTCACCTTAACACTTAAATTGCAATTCAATAATCCATTCACTTATTTCCGCACTTCTTTGATTGCACAATTTTATTTTCACTCTTACAAAGAAAGATCCATTTTCATCAACAGTTTGCGTGAGAAAAAAAGTTTTATAGAATCGACGCGAAGCCAACCGTAGTTGCGACCTTTTCGTACGATAACCAAACCTCAACTGAAATTTTCACGTCCTGGCAGGAAGTACACATAGCAGTTGCCAGAGCGCATAAGACAATTTTTTTTTTCGTTCAACAGGAAGTTTGAAGTTATTTACACACGCAACCGGTCGCACACATACACACGCACACACAGCAAAAGTGTGGTGAATAACGCCTGCTCGTTGTCGCTCGTCTTCATAGTTGCAATTGCTACCGAAATTCAAGGTATGTGCAAAAATATTCGGTATATTCCTGTACTCCGAAAGAGCGAATTCCTGTAGGCTTACTCAGCATTACTTCACTTACTCCCGTTTCGGAAAGGAATTGCAGGTGTGTGGCGTGGAATTTGAGCTGTAGCCGGGTATTTTCTGCTGTGTGAGTATTCGCATGCCATCAGAGCGTGGCAGCAGCGAGAGAGTAACGAGTTTAGTGAATGGAGTGAGAGCGGTATATACGTACAATTTTTGCACAATCAGCTGTTTGACTTGAAAGGTAGCATTTTAATGACTTTGAATGAAAAAGGGAAATGTAATATGTTCATAAAATTTGATAAACAGTAGGTTTACCGAAATATCAGTAAAGGGCGTAAGTTAATTCTTACTTTGGTTTATTTATTCTTACTTTCTTGTTAAGGTAGCCGAGGTTTGGTTCAGGTGGTTGTCCCAGATACGGGAACGCATTTGGACACTGGACACATTTTCTACTGTCCTCTGTGATACCACGCATATGTGTTAAATGAAGACGATTACAAAATTAGGATTTCGCCTTATTTCACTGCCCGAGAGCTTCTAAGGGATAGCTAGAAAGACCAGGCCAAAATACTACAAACTTAGCCACGCAAAGCGGGCAACCCAATATAAAGTACTTAGGTGTTTCAAACTCATCTTTACCTGACAACTGCGACAGTAGAGATTGCAAGCCTTACTGCTTGAACATCAATCGGATAATGACCCGTCAGAAGCCCCATCAACAACTAGAGCTGCGGCTGCGCGAGTACGTGAAACTCTTTCACCGCCCCTGACCAACCCAAAGTCAGAAGAGTCTTGCAATTGCTCATATCCTAGCGTTCGCCTAAAGGTTCGCTGACTTGACATAAGGATCACAATGCAAAAGTACTCCGACGATGGAACAGAGATGCTGTCAGTCATTCCGTGATGAGTTCAAGGTTCATCACCATTGCGTTCAAGGCCCTCACAGCCATTCGACTACCAGAATATATGCTTACCTCTTTTACGTCTTCGGCGTAACACTTTTCAGCAGTAAATCCACTCCTCCTTTAATGACAGCTACTTCTGCCTGGAAAACACTGCAACAGTCCGGAAGCCTGAATTTAGTGTTAAGGAAGAGTTAATCGCAACCAACCCTATTTTCGAATCTCGATCCATCCGTGAAACAGTTCACCGCCTGCTCTCACTAGACACCCGACCTAGTCATACACCTTTTGATCGGAAGCAGGATACTCAGTAATCTGTGTGATCAGGGTTTAAAGTATTTATAAATGGCATAATCTGAGTATAACGACCAAAATTGAAGATATTGCCTCGAAGGCATTACGACTTGGTTTCCGAAAAGTGTGCCTTTATTATGAATCCAGAGAAAAACAAATAACAAAACTACCCACATTTAATAAAACTAAATTCAAGAGTAATGAGCAGAATCTCTCACTGAGGCTGTAATGTTTTGGAGTTCTTGTGGCTCTTAAAGTTAATTGGAGGTGGCACATTGATGAGCAGTAGGTTTGGAAGGCTCGGTAGGCCTCCATGTAGTCAAAAGGATACTTTGCAGCGGATGGGGATTGAACTGTGTACAGTAGCCGCAATAATTCCGTATACGGCGCTGTTTTGGTGGCCAGCCTTTACTAACTATTACATTTTAAAAACTCACCAAGATTCATAGGTCAGCACCAATAGCAGTGCAACAAGGCATTGAGTTTCGATTTACTACTACCACATGCTTTTATCGGAAATTCAATTACTACCAACGCCATGTTGTTGTTGTTGTAGTGGCACTACTAAGCCCCGCCTATTTCGGTTCATCCTTCAATCAATGTCGTCAATGTCAACTAACGATAGGCCCAGGAAACAGGCTATTTCAATAAGGTCGGGCCCAAGGGAAAGGGGTGTCAGTTGAGTAGGATTGAGCTGGCATGTAAAGAGGTGGTTGGTCGGTTGGTTTGGGGTCGAGACTGGACAGGTAGATGTTGATGCGGCTACAAAATCCAGACCGCAACTTAGCCAGGGTAACGCGGGTCTCTCCTGGCAGTTGAAGCTCCGATCACGGAATTCAAAGGCCGGGAGTCGGGTCCAGTGGTTGGTCTAGGTATTTTTGGACTGCGTCCTTGTACACGAATAGGTGCCCCCTGACACTCCGGGGCGGAGGCCCTTCCTCTAGCAGTGGTCTGTTGGGGTGTTCACTTATGTGGCACCCCATCAGAAACTGCTTACAAAGCATTTTTTTGTGCTCCCTTACGGGGACATTAGCTCGTGGGCGTGCCTACTGAAAGTATCGGCATGCCAGGCCCTTGCAAAAGTCAGGCTAAATAAACTTGGTTAACCAATCCTGCAGAATATCTCAAAGTACCGCCGCGTCTATCTGCATCAATACCACCAATCGGGTGTAGGTTTTCATGAGTTTTCCAATTCGACATGGCGTAAACTTACTAATTGCCCGTTTACCAGATGAACCAACTATAGCCAATCAGAGGAAATATTAGATTGTCGATAAGAAAATCAAATTCTTCACGCGGATGAGCTCGAGATCAACGTGGGTGTTTTGAAAGGCCGTTTTTTATGGTAGGAAAGCCATTGACAGTCTTTTCTGAGGAATTAAACTTTTACGACAGCCACGCGGCCCCACTATAATAGTAGCTTATATTGTCAGATCGAAAGAAGTAACTAATAACTTAGTGTAGAATTTAACTAAAACTATGTCTCAAACAGCAGAAATCTCCTCTATCAAAGTTGCCGGGCATAAGAACCACAGCGGAAACGAAAGAACGAACAATTTTTCAATTAATGGTCACTTAGATATGAAACGTTGAGACTGTGGTAACAAAAACCAATTTTAAGATATCCGTAAAATTTTTTTACTAAAATAGCCTAACAACATCGTTTTTCCTTGCAATCAGGGGAACGAATGGTAATGCGGATTCAGTGGCTAATGGTAACCACCTATTAAAAAAAAAAGGCGAGAGTAATTTAAAATAGCGATTCAAGCCAACCAATAAATATGTATATAAAAATATTTCAGTCAAATATTGTGTTTCAAAAAGTATGCATTGGATTTGGATTGCGTGCACTTAATGAAATTTATGTTTTATGAAACGTACGTTTTACGCATTACACGTTTTTGTTTTAAAAATGTATTTTTTTTTAGATTTAGAATGATTATTATTTATTTTTTATAAGGTACAAAATTAAAAAAACTACACTAGCGAGTATTGTGGCTTATTTGTGTTCTCGTAGTGTCAGCTATTGGTGCTAATAATTTTATAACATTTTATTATTTTTATAATTTTCTGGAATCATGGGAAATATATATTTTTGTACAAAAATTCAATAAACAGTTGGTGTACCACAATAACCAATGTCAATGACACTTTCTTATTGAAGCCTGAGCTTTTCTCAATATTCATGGCAGTCTGGATGTCAATGTTGACTCAATATTAAAAAATCTTTATCTATACCTCGGTGAATTTCATGTGACTTTTTTTTTGAGTTGTGCTGAATTATAGACTTTACATTAAACCCCCCCTAAAGAGAAATCCTGCGGCCGGTCATGAAGTGATTTAAACGGAATACCCCCTAGTTACGATATACAAATATTGTTAAAGTTGATTAGGCNTGTGGCTTATTTGTGTTCTCGTAGTGTCAGCTATTGGTGCTAATAATTTTATAACATTTTATTATTTTTATAATTTTCTGGAATCATGAGAAATATATATTTTTGTACAAAAATTCAATAAACAGTTGGGGTACCACAATAACCAATGTCAATGACACTTCTTTTTGAAGCCTGAGTTTTTCTCAATATTCATGGCAATCTGGATGTCAATGTTGACTCAATATTAAAAAAAATATTTATCTATACCTCGGTGAATTTCATGTGACTTTTGTTTGAGTTGTGCTGAATTATAGACTTTACATTAAACCCCCCCTAAAGAGAAATCCTGTGGCCGGGCATGGAGTGAT